CTTCCTTCATAAACAGCACCCCCCTTCATTGGGGAGCTGCACTACAAAGGCTCTTCTACACAAACCCCAGCTTTCTCCAGAGACCTGAAGAAGTGGATGACTAGAGAGGGTGGCACCAAAGAGCTGCAGAAGGCTGCATCCATCTGGTCTGTACTATCCTACAATTCTCCCTTTGGGAAAATGCTGAAGAAAGATGGGGAGGGAAAGGGTTTCTCCTTCTTTAAAGGAAACTTGATGTGCCAGTCTGGGTTTTTTTTTGTCAAAACATCCCTGTTTGCACATTTTTTTCAGCAAGCTGTGCAGGAGGTAGCATGGTAGCAACCCCCCTGAAGCACAGCTGCTGTAGCTGCAAGAAAAGTTCAGTGGAAGGTGGAGACACCACCAGGTTGTGTTACTCTGAGGGAGTTTTGACTCTAGAAGCAGCCACTCCAAACCACTGGGACTCCATCAAATTCCAACCCCAACTCCTTCCTCAGGAACTGTTCTCAGCAGGCTTTTCCCCACCCACTAAACCCCAAGAGGTTTGTCCCTCAGGCACAGAGCAGGGTGCCAACAAACTGGAGAGAGAAGCTGAGTCCTTGGAGACTGTGAAAGGTTCTGACATTATTAGATGTATTGATGTTGGGAGATTCTCAGCAGGCTTTTCCCCACCCACTAAACCCCAAGAGGTTTGTCCCTCAGGCACAGAGCAGGGTGCCAACAAACTGGAGAGAGAAGCTGAGTCCTTGGAGACTGTGTGAAAGGTTCTGACATTATTAGATGTATTGACTGTGGGCAGAGATCAATGTGCTGCTTCAATCACTGCTCAGGCAGAGCTGTCATTCTGTGTGTGGCAGAAAAATGCTGCAAGTAGCCAGCTCTAAATTACAAGAAGGTTACAACTACAAAATAAAACCCTCCAGCAACCACAGAGTAGCAGCAGAACAGCTTTCCAGCCCCTCTCAGCATTGGTGACCACACTCAGGAGTTGCTTTGTTTTGCCTGTTAAATCCTCATGAATGGCAACTGCCAGATTTGAAGAGCAGCATTCCAAGGGTGCTCCTTTAGGCCTCTCTCAGCCCAGTGCAAATAAGCAGCAGAGGTTTGGTGCTATTTAAATCTCACTTCAAAGGCCTCAGCCTCCAGGATGTGGGGAAGAGCTGGGCACAGACCTGCATTCCTTGCTGGAGCAGCATGTGCCACAACAGAGGCACCTACCAGGTCTGTATGTGCTACAGACTCAGCCAGACATATGGTTGGATCCCAAATGCCACCAGTTCTCCAAAATAGAATCCAGGACAAGGCAGGGAAGTCTACAGCATATTATTATGGCACTTCTTTCTGCTAAAGAGATCCAGCCCATGCTTGTTCCTGTGACTCATGTCATCTGAATCACTTCAAAATGCTACACTTGAAATTACAGTTTCAGGGGAAAAAAAACCCCCAAATCCTAGCAGCTTTATAGACAATATACTGTGTTAAATCTCCTTTCATTGTGCCAGGTTGAATGTCAAGCCTGACCTTCCATCTGCTTCCATCCCAACCTCTGCTCTGTTGAAAAACCCCAGGCAGAAATTTGAAGAGGGAGGGGGTGAAGTGTTCCTGAAGCATTATAGATAAGGCTGACCAGGGAACAGCTCAGATGCCAGCAGTCCATGCTGCAGGTCTGGCCAGTGCTGCCTTGCCAATATTGCAGTGATCTGACAGGCTGAGTTTAGTGAATGCATTGTCAGGCACAAGCAGCACAAAAACATGCAGCTGTATTTGAACACCTGCCTACTAAAGCAACCCAAATCTGCCTTCCTTGAGGTGTGCCATCATCACGAAACTGCTGCTTGATTTGCAATTTAAAACCCAGCTGGGAATGATGCTGCTATGAACCATGTGGCTGGTGAAGGATCTTTGCCTTCTGGATGGTTTGTCTCTTCTGCAGCAGGAGCACTGGGTGGGTGACACATTGAGAGGTGGCAGGAGGATGTGAGCTGGGCCCATTTCTGGCTGCCAGTTTGGAGGTGGCCCCTAAACATCCATCCTCAGTCCTGGGAGCTGCAGGGAAAGCAACAGTGACCAGGACAGCAGAGCAAAGGATCAGAGCTGCAGGCAGGAGATGAGCATTGTTGTTTCAGGGCAGCCCAGCTGCTCCCAGGGCTGTCCCTGCCTTAGAAGGGGTCTGGGGGTGCAGCAGGGAGGAAGGCAACTAGTAAATGGGTGAGAAAACTCCAGAGGAAGAGCTGAGGAAGCCAAGAAGTGCTGAGAAAGAAGGCCAGCCTTCTGCCCTCAGCTTCTATTGAGGAATTCACCATAAACTCTTCACTTTCAGAAACATCTGACCGTTTTGTATCTCAAAATCTCCATCCTTTTGTCTCTCAGTGCTTCAGGCTCTTCATCCTCCCTCCTCTCTGTCCCCAGGGAATCTCACTGCAATTCCACAGTGCAACTTGTGCCAGCCTGGACAAGGTGCTGCAGGACAGACACCCTGGCACAGTGAAGGAATGAGATGCCAAAAAATGTCTTTAACCCCCTCTGGCACATTTTTATGGTTTTTTTTTAGTCCAGCTGTCCTTTGGTTGGGGTTTTGGGAATAACTTAAGGGACTTAAAAAGACTTGATTTATAAAGGGTTCAGCAATGTGTGGGCATAACTGAATGACATACCTCATTCTTAATGAATTGCAGGGCATCCTATTGATCCTCATTCACATTTTAGGTGCCTCAATACCTTTCTAAGTGACAGTTCATATAGGGCTGTTTGTAAAACTCAGCCTATGTCTTCCAGTGCTTGAAGGGGCTCCAGGACAGCTGGGGAGGGACTTGGGACAAGGGCAGGGAGGGAGAGGACAAGGGGGGATGGATTAGAACTGGAAGAGGGGAGATTTAGGTGAGACATGAGAAAGACCATGAGGGCAGGAAGGCACTGGAACAGGTTGCCCGGGGAGGTTGTTGATGCCCCATCCCTGGAGGTGTTCCAGGGGCAGGTTGGATGGGGCTTGGAGCAGCCTGGGCTGGAGGGAGGTGTCCCTGCCCATGCAGGGGTTGGAACCTGATGATCTTGAAGGTCCCTTCCAACCCAAACCATTCCATGATTAGATGCAGTCAGTAGGATTTTGCTTTGTAATACTCAGTCCTAATGTTCAGCCCTTGCCTCCACTCCAAGGAGCTGGCTCTAATTTTGCTCTGGCATCTGAGTTGCAGGTGAAAAGTCCCTTCAAGCTGAAACAAGGGAGCAGGCAGGTGGACCGTGTGGGTCCAGTGACCAGAACCAGCTCCCTGCCTTTCTTTTATTCCAGTTTTCCATGGCAGCTCCCCAGGATCAGCAAGCCAAGCCTGACTCAGGGGTGGGCTGCCCTGCTAGAGAACAATGTAGATGTGCAGCAAGAGATTAACAAAACAAAAGCTGAGGAGTGTCTCGGTTCAAATGAAGTAACAGATGGACCTGGTCTGTGTGGGAGCTGATAAGGGTTATAAAAAGGCCATCACCAGACTGTGACCAGCCTACCCTGGAAAAAAAACCCCACTCGATCATAAATCCTCTGTGCTGTTATAGCTGCTTGTGCTGGTAAGGCTTTATTTTTACCATAGAACAGCATGACTTATTTTAGATGCAGGGCTTGTGCTGCTCAGTTAAAAGGGTGCCAGCTCTCTGAGAGACACCTACAAACAGAGATGTGCCCACCTGGGCAGGGAACATGAAGGGCAATTAACCTAGAAAAGGCAAATGCAACATTACAGAGCAGTGTTTGGTGTTTCAAGAGGTTCTGGTTTTTGCTTTTCTCTTAGGTAATGAGCTGGTGGCCCTTGTTTCTTCTGAAATGTTAATGGAAAGGGAGTCTCTGATGGTCTCAGCAGGACCAGGACCCCGCAGGACAAAGTTGGGTGGAAGATCATGAAGTATTGGCATCCATCTGAAGATGGAAGAATTCTGATTTTGCCTTTAATTCACTCCCTTCCTGTTCACCACTAGAGAGGGCAAGGAGATGCCTGTCTGCAAACAGAGCAGCTACAGTTCTGCAACAAAACCTTTAAACCTGTTTAAATCTCCTGACTTAAATCTCCTTATTTAAACTGAGACCTTAAAAACCTGACAGTATTTGCAGCAGAGAAGGCCCATTAGCATCCCAACCATGCACACAGCCTTTTTTCCTCCTCTTTTTCTTTCTCATTTGATTTTTTCTGCCTTCCCCTCCACCCTCCCTTTTTGTACAGGAGGATTTACTGTGCTACCTGCTGATCAGCCAGCACTGCCACTGGGACACACTGCACACCCCCACTCAGCAGTGAAGCAGGTTTGCTATCAAGGAGATGTGGAGCCCTCTTAAGAACAAAAAAAGCCTCTCTGCAAAGCAGCTTCCTTCTGCAGGCCACATTTCTCCTCTCTCCCATGCAGGGAGAGGTGCAGGTGTTGCTTGGTGAAGACCACACGATGCTTTCTGATAGCCAAGGTTTGGTTTCAGCCTCCTTTGGTTTCCCAAAGCCTGGTTTCATCATGCTGGGATGCAGCTGCAGACACACTGCCTCAAACATCCATCTGACAAGGCTTCTGGAAGTAAGAATTTCCCAACCTTTGGTTGCCATTTTGCTGGTGGCATTGTGGTGTGTTTAAGAGATGAGATGTCAAGGCCCTGCAGAGCTGCACCTTCACAGAGATGAGACAGCCCATCCCAGATCAGATCTGCTCACCACTCACTTCACAAATCCATGTGAGGAGGAGGCACCATGAGCCATGCTCCAGAGCTGTCTGAACAAGGAAGATTCTCACAGTCTCAGCACAAGTTTGAGCTCTTGGCTGGACATGTTGAGCTTGAAATGAGTCCACCAGCAGCTCCTCATGCTCTGCTGTCCCTAAGGGAGCACAGATGCTCGAGGAGAGAGGCAGAGCTGAGCCAGCCTGGCAACCTGGGGAGAAAGCTCCCAGGATGAAGGACTTAGCACACTTAGCTCATTTTCACCCGTGGGAACAGACGTGGCTCGACAGCCCAAGAGCTCCAGGAGGTACCTGAATGCTGTTGTGACACCAAGGGGAAGATGGACATTGAATACTTTGCAGATGTGGCTGTAGGTGCCTTGCCCAACATCTTGATCTGTGCGTGATCTGGTCCCAGCTCTCCTGTTTTCCCAAGCCCTGGTTTCTGGCTCTTCTCCTGGCAAGGACTGAATGTAGAGAGTTCCCAGCATGTCAGGTTGCATCTCTTTCTGTCATACATTTCAAGGCATCTTCAGCTCAAAGAAAAGATGCAAAGAGTTAGAATAGGCCCCTGAAAGTCTGGGATGAAGGCGGGTTTGGAGAGGGAACGGAAAGGAAACATGAACAGCAAAGCTGTGCTGCTCTTACCAGCCCTGAATTACTTCTCCCTCCCAAGAAAGAAACATGAGGCTGAACTGGAATTCTTCTTTGCACTGGAGAAGAAGCTTCAGCGTTGCATAAGATGCCACCAACCAGGGGGTTCAGTCCAGATCATTTCTTTTGCCTCCGAGCTCACCCCCTTACACTTTGGGCTTGCAATGGGACACTGACTGGTGAGGAGGCAAAACCAGGGGCAGGAGGCCTTGCTGTGTGGCTCTGAGGGAAGCCCATTAGGCAGGAGAGCTTCTAATTACATCTGCACCAAGTCTTTGGCAAGAGCCAGAAGAGAAATAAGGCAACAAGGAAACAATTAAGAGATCCCTTGGCTGGGAATCCATCAAAACAGTCGTGTGGTACTGAGGGCTGTTCTTGCCATTTGCATCAACAAATGGACAGTGTAATTACATCTTCAAACTGGTCTGGCTCCCAGCCAAGGTGGGCCATGAAAATTAGTGCATTGACAGAAAAGTGGGACAGGAGGGGTTCTCAGGAGGTCAGCTCATCCCCACCTCTGCTGTGGAGCCTGAAAACCCAAGGCATACAACTGGCTGGGCCCCTGGATGGCTGTTGAGGTTCTCACATTCCCTGTCATCCTTTCCATCTGTTCAAGTGCTGTGTATTGATCATTCCACCCTCAGTCCCTTCACATTCACTGACAACTCAGCAAGGATGTGCAGCTCCAGGTCACTGGCAGAAAAAACCTGAGGAATGGGAAGCTGCAGGAAGAGTAAGGAACACACCATGGATAGAGAGTTCTGTGATCTGCTGCCCAGATGACAGTGCCTTCCCCCAGCAAAAGCAAAGGCCAGGAACAACAAGGGTGAGCAGTGGAAAGCAGTGGGATATCTGCAGAGGGCAGGCTTGAAACCAACCCTTCCTGCCTATTCCCACTTGCCTGCCATTGTTTCCTTAGCCAGCCCCAAGAACTGCCATACAGGCACATCCTACATTATTTCTCACTTCAGCAAGTCCCTTTCCTCCCCAGAGTGGCAGATGCTGATACCAAATTAGTGCAAAGTGGGAGGGAACCAGCAGATAAGTGTGATAAGAGCCAGGGGCAATGGTCTTCCTCAGTCCTCTCCCTTCCTCTCACTGCAGCAGGCAGATGCTTGAAGGAAGTGTCCAGAGCAGTGAGGTCAGTGAGATGTGACAGGGATCAATGGCCAGGATCAGGGAGATGGGACACAGGAAAGGGGAAATGACAGGGAAAAGGGGCAAGCTCCTTTATTTTTGTCTTGTGTGGGAATGTGACTCCAGGATCGCTGCGAATCTCGTAAAGCCGAGGCGACGTTTTCCAGGCTGAGTGCCAGGCAATGCACAGACTTGATCTCAGCAGGTATTTGACTTGGAGAGGGGCTGGGATGCTGGGTACCTGCCTGACCCTGCCTTTTGATGAGGACACGTTCAGCCCAAGCTGCCTGAGATGCAAAGGCAGGAACTAAGCGGATCCGCTATCAGCACCAGCGTCTGGCTGTGGCCCAACCATCAATACAGAGACTTGCAGGGTTTCAGCCTGTAATCCTCTATTCCCCTGTCTGTGACTCTAATCTCCTGATCCTCCCGGCTCCCCCAGCCTATAGCTTGACCAACAAAACACAGAGCTGAAGTTCTGCTTATCAGAGACCAACTGTGTCATCTTCCTGTGGAAAATGGGAGCTGGGAAGAGAGTCGCGGTCATCAGAGCCAGGAGCTGGATGGAGGATAGAGAAGGGGACAGGAAGAGGGCATGAGCAAGCACAACAGAGAAATCATTTGTGACAAGAGGAAAAACAGCCCTCTCTTGAAGAACATTTTTTTTTTTCCAGTTTTACAGTACCATGTTTTTCCTTGTCTGTGTGCATCACTCCAGCCTGGGGGGCAGGACAAATTGTCCGGCGAACGCGTCGCACGAAGAGCGCCCAAGTGAGCACTGCAAGAGCCTGAGGGACTGCAGGGAACATCCACGGCTGCCTGGGAGCCTGTGACCAAGAGCCTGAGAAACTCCTGCCTTCATTCCACGCTGGAGGAGGTGGGGCTGCCTTCTGCAAGGCAGCTTTGAAGCTTTGCAGCCCATCTGTCTGCACAGAGGATGCAGATCCAGCAGGGGGAAACAGGCACTGGGAAGAAAGCTGGGTGAGCCATGTGCTGGCCTGAAGACATGTGAGTTGGGGGGGGGAAATCTGTCCTAGGGACAGCCCTGAATCACAGGAGCTGATCTGAAAAGACTTACCTGGTTAACAGCCTGAGCAAGGGCTGCAGACCTGCAGAGGAGCGTCCAAGTGAGCACTGGAACAGCCTGAGGGACTGCAGGGAACATCCACGGCTGCCTGGGAGCCTGTGACCAAGAGCCTGAGAAACTCCTGCCTTCATTCCACGCTGGAGGAGGTGGGGCTGCCTTCTGCAAGGCAGCTTTGAAGCTTTGCAGCCCATCTGTCTGCACAGAGGATGCAGATCCAGCAGGGGGAAACAGGCACTGGGAAGAAAGCTGGGTGAGCCATGTGCTGGCCTGAAGACATGTGAGTTGGGGGGGGGAAATCTGTCCTAGGGACAGCCCTGAATCACAGGAGCTGATCTGAAAAGACTTACCTGGTTAACAGCCTGAGCAAGGGCTGCAGACCTGCAGAGGGAGTTGAGCTGCAGGGCTCAGCAGAGATTATTTTCTTAGCAAGTACATGGGGAATTAAAGGGAGCCCAGATGAAGTCACAGACATCAGTTCAAGATGAAAAGCCTGACCCAGAGCACTGTGAGGGAGATGCTGGAATAAATGAGCAGGGCAAGAGAAAAGAAAGTAATGCCATGTCAGAGCAGTAAGTGGTGACAAAAGCCATTTGGCTTGTCCCAACCTGGACTCCTAACCAAGGCAAGTTGTTCCATAGAGCAGAAACCAGCCCTGGTCTGGAGGGGTTAACAGATGACTTGTCCTGGGGGAGCTGAATTAGCCACATATCTGGGAACTAACTTCTCCCAGACTCTTGACTTGTTTTTCTCCTTCATCATCTCCTGCTGCTATTTTTAGCAGAGAATTTTCTCAGCTGAATGCTCCCAGTTGAGCTCTGGTCTGAGGTCCTTTTCCCAGAGAGACACAGGCCCAGCAGCATGTGCTGGTCCCCAGACCTGCTCAGCTCCACTGTCCTGCTGGCTTTGGGGTTCACATGTTGCACTGCTGGGTCTCTCCTGAGCCATGGGGGACAATGCCATTCCATTGTAAATGCCTTTCCAGACCCTAAAAGCCAGGAGAAGCTGCAGTCTGGTCTAGAATTTCAGAAGCAGTGAAAGAAGAGAGGGTGGACTGGACTTGCTAAGTGCCTGCAGGCTATTTGGGAGCATGAATGGCAAAAATGGTGGGAAGGAGATAGAAATGATTAGGCTGACATTAATAACAGGATCTGCTTCTCAGCACTAAAATCTCTTTGGATTCTTTCCAGTTCCTCCAAGGGAAACCATGGAAGCCTTTATTGTTCATAAAAGTTGCATCTAAAATGGGACTGGAGAAAGCTGAAGGAAATACCTCTCAGAGGACAACCCTGCTCTGGCTGCTGGAAACAAGTGAGGTAACTCCCTTCCTCTTCTCTGCTTCTCTCGGGGCCCCTGCTCCTCCTTAGGCAAAATTCTAACCTGTCCATCAGCCCCTCACTCCCTTCCCCTGGCTCCTCAGTGCTCAGCCAGCCCCTGTGTGACAACACACCAGGGAATGTCTGGGATGCTTCACCAGGAAGCCATGGCTTGTGATTTCTTTTATCTACAGCTTGATGCAATACCTGCCTGCCAGAGGTGGGTGTGTAGATCAAAAGGCACAGGGATGAACTGATTGAGTAAAAGAGGAATGAAGCCCCTGGCAGTTCAAGGGAGGGACTGGGAGGCTGCAGCCCAGCAATGGAGGGGCTGGTGGTGACAACAGAGCCACAAGGTCCCTCTAACAATGGCTCCTTCTTGGTCAGTCTGTCTGTTCCCTGTGTGTCTTGGAGTCACGTCAGTGAAGCCAACAGCTTGGGAACAGATTTGTCCTCCCCTCAGCAGTGCAGCAGCCAGCCCAGGCACAGAGGAGCAAGCTGGGCTCTGCTCTGCTCCCTGCCAAGTTTCCAGCTCTGCTTGAAACCTGTGGCCGAGCCCTGTTTTGGCAGGGGTGAAGGGAGAGGGGCAGGCAACACTGCTGGCAGCTCCTGCTCACATGGCAGCTGGCTCCAGGGGAGGGGGGCCAGGCTGAACTCAGTCCCACACCTCAGAAAGCCCCCAGGAGAGATCAAACCTGGCACCGTGTGGCTTCGCCCTGCTCCCCAGCCCCGCTGGGGTCCTGGGCAACCCACAGATGCTGCACCAGGGCTTGTCCCAGTGGCAAGAGTGACCTT